ATTTTGATTAGCCGTCGTACCTACAATGACTGTGCACTGTGTAAACAATGAGTGACGTATACGCGCGAGAGATCACTTCCGGCGCTTGCGTAAACTACGCCAAAGTGCGTACACACCTCACGCACCGGATGCTGTGCGCGCGCTCAAGGAAGTTGGACATAGTGCTGTATTAGAGGTAAAAAATGATATAAATACTGTTCGGTTTCTCGCACAAACCGATCGTTTCGTGTCTTAGGACATCAATGTGTCGTCACAAGCCGCAGGGTTTAATTTGGATTTGTCTGTGCATGTTTTTTTTACTCTCATAGATTTTGTTACCATTGCCATGCATTATAAGACTGATAGACTCCAACGGTTAAAGTTAAAAATCATCATATGTGTTCTACTGAAGAAACAAAGTCACCTACATCTTGGATGCCCTGGGGGTAAGCAGATAAACATCCAATTTTCATTTTTGGGTGAACTATCCCTTTAACTACTGTAAAATGAGTTCAAATATTCTCATTTTATTGACATTAAATGCTAGAGTTAAACGGTAGGTCTTGAGACGCCTAGTGATGCATTCATCAAAATAACTTTTTCCTTTTTGTCCTAATCTTGTGTTTGCTCTTGCTGTCTCCCCTTAGGTTTATAAATGCCAGACGCAGAATAGTCCAGCCAATGATTGACCAATCAAATCGCACAGGTGAAATAAAGTTATTCTGGATTTGTGAATTTGTTTATCTATGGCTTGTTTTACATTCTGATGAATGGTAAATGAACATTCATGGCTCTCTGCACTGAATAACACATATCTGTGTGTGTGTGTTTCCTCAGGCCAGAGTGATCCGTACAGTCCGGAGGGGGCAGCTCTAGGAGGATATGGGTTAGATGCACAGTCGCATTTAGGTCTTAGGACAGCAGGTGAGAACAGCTTTCATGAGGAAACATCACCCTAGCTACACCACCAAAACATTGCTCTGGAGTGGGCTGAAATACCTGTTATCTGTCAATATTGGCTTTCGTTCACTCTCTCTCTTTCTTTGTTGTCAGGACTTCAGGGAATACTGTCCCTGCCCACAGATTACCCCGGGGCCCTACTGCCCCAGCCGGGATACTCGCACGCTGGCCCATCCTTGCACCCCTACCCCGGCCCCCACACTGCCATGCTGCTCCATCCACCACTCCACAGCCACCCCGCTGAATCCCTCATAGGACAAGGCCTTGACATACATGCCCACTAACTGAGAGCGGAGCTGGGAAGGGTGCGCTGAAAATGGGATGAAAGGGTACATTATAAATGGACTTTGCAGTACCACATTCCATTGCTCTCACCAAACCTTCAGGGCATCACTGCGGTCAACACATAAAGGGTTAGTTCACCCAAAAATGAAAATTCTGTCATTAATTACTCACCCTCGTGTTGTTCCAAACCCGTAAGACCTTCGTTCATCTTCGGAACACAATTTAAGATATTTTTGATGAAATCTGAGGGCTCTCTGACCCTCCCATAGACAGCAAGGTAACTACCACGTTCAAGGTCCAGAAAAGTACCAAGATGATCGACAAAGTAGTCCGTGTGACATCAGTGGTTCAACTGTAAAGTTACGAGTTAAGTTATTTTTGTCTCTACTGCGTCACTTGTGGACGTCATTACGCCGGATCTGGGTCAGCGTCGTGAACGCGCGTCCAAAGTAACGCAGTAGAGACAAAATGTGGAATAAAGTCGTTATTTTTGTTTTCTTTGCGCAAAAAAGTATTCTCATAGCTACTACTTTGTCGATCATCTTGGTACTTTTCTGGACCTTGAACGTGGTAGTTACCTTGCTGTCTATGGGAGGATATCTTAAATTGTGTTCCGAAGATGAACGAAGGTCTTACGGGTTTGGAACAACACGAGGGTGAGTAATTAATGACAGAATTTTCATTTTTGGGTGAACTGTGAACTAACTGACTCTGAGAATGTTTTAAATGCACTGACCTGGCATCATAAATGTATAAAAATGTCCATTGTCCATTCTCAGCTCCCATGCAATGCCCATTTCAAATGCTTGACAGACTTGTTACATTCCTTAACCATTTATTACTAACTGATTCCCTCATGACAATGCTCTGAATGCACTGTACTTAATACACCTATCTACTAGTTTTTATGCACATTGCTGCGTTTGATTGAATATACCCATGTCTTCCTATGGCCTTAGGGGTGAGCTGAAATCTCCCTTAATCTAACATTAAGGCCTTCATTGCCTTTCTTGCCTTGCCTCCAAAAACCGTCTTGAGGAGCACAAACGGAAAAATACAGCATATACCTCCTCAGTCGAGACCCAAGCATATCAAAAAGTCCTGAAATAGTCTTCTGAGATTAACAATTGCACCAAACCCTTATAGTCGAACTGCTGAACATGGTTAATAAAATGTAAGGGTGAAGCTCGTGAAATCAGGTCACATTTCACCCCAAAATCAAGAGATTTTGCACAAGAAACCTATTTATAGAAAATTAATTCATTTTTTCAAATCATTAAGAATTAGGAATGTAATATTATTACACAAAACTCTCGTTGCTGTAATGTATTTTATTTTATTTTTTACTTTTAAATTCCCTTTGTTCGTAATAGTGATTCTCATTAGTTTCCCATAATATAATAATACAATACAAACCTGTTTTTCCTGGAAGAAAAATATAATTCTTGTTTTGATTTTGGGGTGAAACAGATATCGACATGTTCTTGAGAGATTTTGTGAGATTCTGGGCTCTTTTACTTTTTTGAGATAAAAAGTCAAAGGGGCCAAGAGTCTTCGTCTTCCTAGCTGAGGGTCATATACATTTCTTTCAAGTTCCTCTGCTAAGTCAGTCTCAATTTTAGTTTTACTCATGATTTAATTTATTTTTTATGTTTTTTTTTTTTTTTATTTATCTGTGTCAGAACTACGGCTACTCCAAAACTTTAAAGTTACAATAATCTGAGTGCCACGTTTTTTGAATATCTCGATTTGATAAAGAAGTGAATATGTTCTTCAGTTATTTGAAGTTTTGTGAATGTTTACCTGCTGAGGTCCCGACAGGCACATTTTTGGTTTGCTCTAAAGGACCTGACTTACATTACCATCAATATTTCACCCAATCTCATCACACAGTACCAATGTATTAATGAATACAAGAATCTCTGATGATACGTTTTGGAGTTTTGTCGGAAAGCAATGGACTTCAATCTTGGAAACCGGAGCTCTATCTGTCATTCCACTGTCTGCATTAAAACATATTATACGACTGTTGATGATGTATTTATGATGACATGACTTAAGTTATTATATCATATTATCAACAAAATTTAAGGTTCAAGCTTTGCTTCTTTTGGCCATTTAAAATTTTAAGGAGGAATTTAAAGTCAATTTAACTAATGAGTAATGCATATTTAATTAGATGCATTTCTAAACCCAGACATATTTATAAAGCACAACGAACCCACTCTACAAATGGAAAAGTGAGATTTAAAGTTATGTTATAAATTAATTGTTTGACGTAAAATACAATGAAACAATTGAAGACTAAAAAGACAGGACATTTGAATTTGTGAGAAGCAACTAATTTAATAAAAATCACTACTGTTTATTTGTTATTTAAATATCTTAAATTGTGTTCCGAAGATGAACGAAGGTCTTACGGGTTTGGAACAACACGAGGGTGAGTAATTAATGACAGAATTTTCATTTTTGGGTGAACTAACCCTATAATGACTCTGAGAATGTTTTAAATGCACTGACCTGGCATCATAAATGTATAAAAATGTCCATTTTATGCACTCAGCTCCCATGCAATGCCCATTTCAAATGCTTGACAGACTTGTTACATTCCTTAACCATTTATTACTAACTGATTCCCTCATGACAATGCTCTGAATGCACTGTACTTAATACACCTATCTACTAGTTTTTATGCACATTGCTGCGTTTGATTGAATATACCCATGTCTTCCTATGGCCTTAGGGGTGAGCTGAAATCTCCCTTAATCTAACATTAAGGCCTTCATTGCCTTTCTTGCCTTGCCTCCAAAAACCGTCTTGAGGAGCACAAACGGAAAAATACAGCATATACCTCCTCAGTCGAGACCCAAGCATATCAAAAAGTCCTGAAATAGTCTTCTGAGATTAACAATTGCACCAAACCCTTATAGTCGAACTGCTGAACATGGTTAATAAAATGTAAGGGTGAAGCTCGTGAAATCAGGTCACATTTCACCCCAAAATCAAGAGATTTTGCACAAGAAACCTATTTATAGAAAATTAATTCATTTTTTCAAATCATTAAGAATTAGGAATGTAATATTATTACACAAAACTCTCGTTGCTGTAATGTATTTTATTTTATTTTTTACTTTTAAATTCCTTTTGTTCGTAATAGTGATTCTCATTAGTTTCCCATAATATAATAATACAATACAAACCTGTTTTTCCTGGAAGAAAAATATAATTCTTGTTTTGATTTTGGGGTGAAACAGATATCGACATGTTCTTGAGAGATTTTGTGAGATTCTGGGCTCTTTTACTTTTTTGAGATAAAAAGTCAAAGGGGCCAAGAGTCTTCGTCTTCCTAGCTGAGGGTCATATACATTTCTTTCAAGTTCTTCTGCTAAGTCAGTCTCAATTTTAGTTTTACTCATGATTTAATTTATTTTTTATGTTTTTTTTATTTTTTTATTTATCTGTGTCAGAACTACGGCTACTCCAAACCTTTAAAGTTACAATAATCTGAATGCCACGTTTTTTGAATATCTCGATTTGATAAAGAAGTGAATATGTTCTTCAGTTATTTGAAGTTTTGTGAATGTTTACCTGCTGAGGTCCCGACAGGCACATTTTTGGTTTGCTCTAAAGGACCTGACTTACATTACCATCAATATTTCACCCAATCTCATCACACAGTACCAATGTATTAATGAATATAAGAATCTCTGATGATACGTTTTGGAGTTTTGTCGGAAAGCAATGGACTTCAATCTTGGAAACCGGAGCTCTATCTGTCATTCCACTGTCTGCATTAAAACATATTATACGACTGTTGATGATGTATTTATGATGACATGACTTAAGTTATTATATCATATTATCAACAAAATTTAAGGTTCAAGCTTTGCTTCTTTTGGCCATTTAAAATTTTAAGGAGGAATTTAAAGTCAATTTAACTAATGAGTAATGCATATTTAATTAGATGCATTTCTAAACCCAGACATATTTATAAAGCACAACGAACCCACTCTACAAATGGAAAAGTGAGATTTAAAGTTATGTTATAAATTAATTGTTTGACGTAAAATACAATGAAACAATTGAAGACTAAAAAGACAGGACATTTGAATTTGTGAGAAGCAACTAATTTAATAAAAATCACTACTGTTTATTTGTTATTTTCAGCATTTTGGGGACATTTTTTATCTATTGTATCTCTTTGTTTAAAAGGTATTAATAAATAAATAAATGGCAGACAAAATAAAAATAATTAAATAAAAGTTTCTACATGTGGGTTGGCTTATACTTTCCCTGTCATCACAAATCTCTGCCAAAGTGTTTTTCATGCATGAGTGCATTTCTGGCTCCATGTTCACCCCCATATCTGTCAACCAGCCTTGTGTGATAGATTCAGTCTGCAGCAGGGGTCAGAGTTCACTGAAGGGTTAACAGGAAGAGGCCAATGTCTCTGACCCCTTAAGGTCACCCAAGTCCCTCCACTTTAATTTTTAGCCTTTCTTCTCCTTTTCCTTTGTATTAGGCTACATTTTTTTTTTTACTTTAGATAATTTAATGTTTTATCCATCAAGTAAAAAAAACCCAATAATTTTGCTCAATTTAAGCTTGATAAGAAACACTTGCTTTCTTCATCTGTTTTTAATTCTGATATTCATTTGCAAGGCTAACAGTCATAGGCAGAGGGTGAACCAACTCCAGGGTAGGGCTAAAAGTAGCCTAATGTTAGTGTAATTCAGGGGCAGTTCTATATGGGGTTAAATCTCTGCCACAATTCTGCACGCGAAAGATCATATTTTGAGCGCACAAAAGTGCATTTTGCACACGCGCGAT